AGGCGGCAGGCCACGATAGAGTAGCATCACAGGGCCACGCCGAGGAACCCCAACCTGTACTCGACACTTGAGGGTGCCTGCAGGATACATCAGACACTTCGTGATCATCGTTGCACCAGCTGCTGCTATCGAAGTAGTCGAGTACAGTATATCCGTAAACACGTGGTACAAGAGATCTGGTAAGTTACCAAGTCGAGTAGATCGGTAAGTTACCGATGATAAGCACTATACCCATGACCATTACAGTAATGGCATTACTATTAACACGAGACCATCGGTGAATCAAGCAAACGATTACGGTTAATATGAGGATAGCACGGTATTTTGGTATATAAAAGGAAACCAATATTGAGCCTACTCAACCGTCAGGCACAAATAATAACCACACTCATATGTCGCATCCCTCCACTGCCACTACTTACTCCTCTTCTGGTAGCGCCCCCAATATGATTGCAGCTGGGCGTATGCAGTCCGTAACAGTCGCAGGAACCTGGTCAGTATGTAAAGGAACTTGAACCCGTCCCTGTTCAAACTCAGAGGGTGTCTCCTCAAACCAATATCCAGCCAGAACTCTCAGAACAGCCCTTGTATGGTCAGATATTATTATGATGTGCCCGTGCTCATATTCTCTCAGTACAAATAAAGATAGAGCCGCAAGGACATACCGCTGAGAAGTCTCTGGCGTGGTACAAGGCTTCAAGACGTTGATCAACTTCTCGAAATGGCTCATATTCAAACTTCTCCAGGTCTTAAGAATAGCAGCTGCATCTTCCACAGAGAGCCTAGGCCCAGCACGTTCAATGAGCTCTAATACGTCCGCACTTTGTGTCGGCTCTACGATGAGCACGGCGTCGTCCGCGGGAGGGCTAAATTGCACTTGAGGAAGTAACATGGTAATCATCTCTTGCATAGACTTCTTCCGTTCGAGGGATGTCGACGATAGAGAAGAAGACCTGGACCGTCTCAGAGATGCCACACGCTCGTAGAAGTCCTCTAATAACTGCCATTGGCTTGATGTTGGGCCTGACCATATACCCTCTAGTTTGGTCATCATCCTTGCTACTGCCTCCTGTACAGTAGGACCTCTAGCTTGCATATCGGCAGCCAACGCTGCCATAAACCTGGTGGAGTCATCATCACCACCACAGATCATACCAATATTTGCGGGTGTGGAGGTTGATAAACTCAGCAGCCATATCCAAATCAAAGGATGGCATATGGAGATCATACATCACATTAGCATCT